CGGCATTCCTCACAGTGCAACTGGATGAGGAGCTGGGAGGCAGCCCTGTGCAGGTGAAAAAACAACCAACAAACAAAAACAAATTAAAAAAAAAAACCAACACAAAAACGGACTGAAAATAAATAGGATATAATTGGTTTTCTCATACCTTGCAAGTGGCAGTGAGCCGTTTGCTTTCTAGTGTTAATAATTCTCAGAAATTAACAACCTGTATTTCATACAAATTAATGCAACATGTTGGCAGCCAGCAGAATTTGCTAGGAGAAGCAGAAAACGCCCTGCGTATATTTAATTACATTTTTTGCTGCTGGATTGGTGAAGACTGCAAACTCTGTGAGTTCTGTAAGAAGATTCCAGCCAGAAAATGGCAGCCAAATCCATTTCCAGCATACCTTATGCTTCTCTTCATCAGTGCCTTAAAACTGACAGCAGGTTATCTTTTTCTCTAGAAACGAGTAGTGCAAGGAAAAGAGCCGCCTCATCTGATGAGCATGTTTGGTGGGAAGCCTTTGATTGTTTACAAGGGTGGAACATCTCGGGAAGGAGGCCAGACCACACCGGCACAAACACGGCTGTTCCAGGTCCGGTCCAGCACCTCGGGAGCTACCAGAGCTGTAGAGGTATGTGGAGAGAGAGCCAGCTGCTGTGTTGTGCACATAAACTGCAGTGGGGACGCAACCTCTTGGAGAAGAATGAAGGCCAGATTGAGCTTTCTGATGTAAACTGTAACAAACTTGTAAAGCTGCAGAAACTGTTAAAAGATGTCTCTTTTCTGGTGAATAAGTGGTGATAATCATTATGTTCATTTTGGTTTATAAATATAATCTCATAAATATATAATATTATATATATTATAATTATAATATATAATCTCAAACAGGTTAAACCGTTCTGTCTTAAGTCCGCAGTAGATGTTACACCCTGCATAAAACAATGATTGCCAAATACTGTTTGGTGCTGGATACTGTGACTTGTTGTAAGCTTGTGTGACCACACTCCTACCAGTGGAAGACTTCAAGTGCTGAAGACTCTAAATAAAAATAGAGCCTGTGCCAGCATACAGGCTGAGAGTCCTTTCTATTTGAAAGAAAATACGCACATACAAATAAACATTATGCTAATCATTCAGCAGCAGCAGGATGGTGCTCTGATAGTTTCCTCAGCAAGTTCTTATATCTCCTGACAGAACCATAAAGACTGGCAAAATGACAGCCCCAAGCATCTGAGCAGAAAGTTGTGTGTATCTGTAGGTTGTATTCAGAAACACACGTTTGTTTACTCTTCTCATACAGCTAAGCCTCACTCATTACCCAGACATAGGCAAATATACAACATATACTGTAACCCTACATGCTTACAAGGAATATCTTGTTTGAAGTTTGTTTAAGAATAGATACTAACTTTTGAAATTGCGGGCTCTACATAGAGGATGATTGCACCTCACATGTGCAACTTTCTTTTTTTCAGTTGGATCCTTCTGCCAGTCAGCTGAACTCCAATGATGCTTTTGTCCTGAAAACTCCCTCTGCTGCTTACCTCTGGGTTGGCCGTGGCTCCAACAGTGCAGAGCTGTCAGGAGCACAAGAGCTGCTGAAGGTTCTGGGAGCTCGTCCAGTACAGGTTTCTGAGGGTAGAGAGCCAGGTGAGGGACATACATGAAGTCTGATATCATTTCTGTGTAGCTGCACTTTCTCAATAATTATTTCCTGGATATTTTCTTTTTGTCTCTCAGAGAAAGGAAATATCAATGTGACAGAGGGTGGCTTCTCCAACCTAGTGTCTTTGTAATGTTTAACAGCACACCCGCGTTTGTAGACCTCTAGAACTTTCTGACTTAGAGAGAAGAATGCTTAAAGTCCTACCCAACCATACTGCTTTCCAGCAATAGCTGGGGCAACAGCGTGTCTATTTCTTTATCAGATAACTTCTGGACGGCCTTGGGTGGAAAAGCTCCATACCGTACCTCTCCTCGGCTGAAGGACAAGAAGATGGATGCTCACCCCCCTCGTCTTTTTGCGTGCTCCAACAAGAGTGGACGCTTCAGTGTGAGTGTCTGGAAAGACTGTCAATTAATTCAGCATTCATCTGACAAAGCTGAGAGAAATTTAGTCTGAGAATGCCCTGAGTCAACTAGTGAGCTGTTACACCCAATTTTCCTTTGTAGCACTGCCTCCAGAGGGGAAGTATTAGCACCAGTTATCTTTTTCTGCAGAGACAGCAGCTACCTCTATAGCAACTTCCTATAGCAACCAGCATTCCGATTCCTAAGATTTTAACTCATGAATCTTTCAAGCAGCAAGAGGGAGCCATAGAAGCCTTGTGCATGAATGAAAGGCTGACAAGAGGTGAAACGAGAGCCCTGGTGAACTGCATTTCTCTCACTAAGGTAAAGTGACACTTGCAGAACGTCGTCATATTTTGATCTTATGTTTTTCAGATTGAAGAAGTCCCTGGAGACCTGACTCAGGATGACCTTGCTACAGATGATGTCATGATCCTTGACACATGGGATCAGGTATGTCATGTTCACCTGCTAAGGAGAGAAGCAAAGAATATACACCATGTGGCTCTAGATCGAGAGATCCAAATTAAAATCACTAGCAGAATTATTAAATTGTAGAGTTTTTTTGCTTTGAAGCCTGAGAACAAAACACCTCACCTGTGACACTGAAGAGAACTTACGCCCAGAACCTGTGCTAGTTGCTGTGCACGACTCAGCCAAAAGTGAACTTCGAGATGAATTCTGTGTGTTTTATGTAAAGATGTTCAAACATCAGTTATTTTTTTCTGTTGTTAAGCTGGTGTACAGCTTGTTCTCATAATTAGAATTTACAGCAGATAAACTGCAGCCAAATGCTTCCTGTCATCTGCCAGAAACTTTATTCAGGTGGGTCAGTGATCCAGGCACACCAGGAGGAATATGTTTCTGTTCAGTGTTGTACTCAGTTCAGTCCTTATCTTCTCTTTCATAGGCACGTTGGCTGTTGCTGAAACAATTCACGTGATTTATTTTTTTTAATCTATAGGTGTTTGTATGGATTGGAAAAGATGCCCAGGAGGAAGAAAAGACTGAGGCTTTGAAATCTGGTAATGACATTTTTCCTTCTGAAATAAATGTTTCTTATTTTCCCACCATCTGATTCTAAGTCAGACAATTTAATATACTGACGAATATATCTTAATCATAACATTCACTGTTGTGATCAAAATGATCACACAGATTGAGAAAAGAGACTCCCAAAGGGTTCCAAAGAAAGGTCTGGTGTTTAGACACTGTGCTCAGGCCCTAACAGTAGAAAAGTATCCCTGTGTGGGGAGTACAGACTGTCCTTATATTGGAGCATTTTATAACCCTAACGTGTGTTTTCTACCTAAAAATGCCAGTCTTCTAACAGGTCTAGATAAAACCACAGAGTAAAAGCTTATTTGTTTTAATGAAAAATCTGAAATTGTATCTCTGGCATCCATCTGCTGCTCCCTGAGATTTGTACCTTATGAGATTTTCTTCTACTTGTGCCTTTACAGCTAAACGATACATTGAAACTGACCCAGCCAGCCGCGATAAGAGAACTCCAGTCACACTGGTTAAGCAAGGCCTGGAGCCTCCAACCTTCTCTGGCTGGTTCCTGGGCTGGGATGATGACTACTGGTCTGTCGATCCTCTGCAGAGAGCAATGGCAGATGTGGATGTTTAAGTAACAGGTTTTTCCTCTTTTTAATAGAGCAAGTTTAGTTCCTTCAGTGCCTTCAAGAGCTGCTTCCTCCTGCTGGATGGATGCTAGCATGGCAATGATGTTAATAGCCAATTAGCTGTGCAATAAGTACCAAAACCAATCACAATACTGTTCTACTCCTTGCTTTGATTATATTTAATATGGTAAAGCTTGTTTGGAATAGGAGAAGAATGGGTGAGCTTTGTTACTAAGATGAAAACTTTAAACAGAACCTGTAGATCCCACCTTTGAACTTACTTGAAACAAATACACACCTTAAGAAAACGAAACCTTCTCTGTGCTGTTCTTTTGTGAGAGCGTTAAATGTTTACAGAAAGGATTTTGTGGTGGCTTGGGATGTTTTGTTTTCCTCTCCATAGAGCTTCTAACATAAGCTCTATGTTTAATACTCTGGTAAATTCACTGTATTCTCTTTCAGAAAGTCAAGCAATAGTAAATAGTGATTTTAACTCAGGATCAGAGGAGGAAGCATTGCTGATTTTAACAAGAATTCATAGGGGTGACCAGTACATAGCAGCAGGTACAGATGCACACATCTTCCCCAAGGATTAATGGCAAGCTGTGCCATAGCTTTGTTTCCTACTGCAACTGTGCACACAGTGATGCTAATTAGTACTTCCTTGTTAATCATGTTTACACCCCAACAAAAGCTTAGCTCTGCTTGTGTTAACTAAAATACTGGCCAACATCTACAGATTGGTGTATTGATTTTATAATGCAGAGGTAATAATAGCTGTAAATACAGAACTGACCCTACCCAGAAAGGTGATAAAAAAATAACCAACCTTGTGCTGGCCAGTATCAGAACAAGGACACTGCGCTCACTGATCCGGGCTTTTGTTTTCATTCTCATCTCCCAGTAATTAAGGACTAGAGGCCAAACAGGGTAACAGCAGTAGCCTAAAGAACCTCCCTCTCATGCAAACTTTTAATTCTGCTCCCTTTTTAATCTTTAATAACATTCACTAAACAGGTGCAAAATATGAATAGAGTTTATCAGACTTGTTCCTCAGGACTACATGCACTGAAGATTGCGCCTTTGGTATTAAGTGTAAACCTCTGCATCACACCTGATGGCACAAGTCTGTTCAGAAGCAGCACTAAGTGAATCATTAATTTGTTAGGTATATAAACAGTACAAAACCTCCTGCTAAACACCCTCCACTAATTACAGTTAGGGAAGCATTTACTGGACCTGGATAAAATGCAGTGTTTCAAGCATGTTTAAAATTAGAACAAGAAAGGAAGTCTATTTACAAACAGGAATTGGGGTTTATGGCTTTTTTTTTCCTTTTAATTGTTTTTTGAGAAGATGTACAGATAAAAGCAAACCCAATGACTTTTCAGTGCTTTAAGAGTCATAAATCTACATGGGCATAGCAAGAAGCAGCATATTGTACCATTAACTACAGCAAGCCTCTATAATTCCTGTGTGGCAGAACAGAGGTGGAAAGTTTCATTTCAGTAACATTGGCTAATCATTTTTCCTCATGAACAGGGAACTGTTACAGAAAGTAGGAGCCTGCTTTTCAGAAGTACCCAATGTTCTCACTCCTACATCAGCTTCCATTGTTTCTCCTGGTCTAAACTAGAGAACAAATGCATGCAGCCATCAGATGACTTCATCACATGCAGGTACTCTAAAAGAACACAGATAGGGCTGCTCCACTTCCCTTACAGGACCACAGACTCTTTTCATAAAAGGAATAGTTTTATATACTTTCTGAAAACACGAGGTTACAGATAATTGGTTTCTCATCTGGTACTGCTCCTAATTTGGATCAGTTTTCAATTTCAAGTATTTTGATTGTCTGTGTTCACAAATATTACATCTATATCTTACCACACACTCAGTATAAAAAAAACCAAAAATGTTCCTCAGCATTTCCACTTTGCTCATGTTGCCTTAAGCTATAGTATGCAAGCAATTTGGTGCTGCAGGTGTTTACTGGTGGCAAAAGAAAACAAACCACCTTTCCCCCTCCCACTGCAGCTAGCGTTTTGCAGCTAAGATGCCCTGCATCATGTCTATGGGCAACGGAAAGATGATGGTGGAGTTCTTTTCTGCAGCAATGGTGTTCAGAGTCTGCAAGTAACGAAGCTGAAGAGCAGCAGGGGACTCTGTGATAACCATAGATGCCTCTTTCAGGGCCCTGGAAGCATTCATTTCACCCTCAGCTGCAATTACCTGGAAAAGCAAAATGAGAAATGGAAATCTGATGCATTCTGATGAATTCTGAGCATTTCTAAATATTCCTTTAAACACCAAAATAAATAATAAAATCAGGGAGTAATTAAACTTCAGAAAATAATCTAAAAGCTAATGCTTGAATCACCAAAGATCTTCTCCTGCAGTTCAGCTGAAGGGTGACAACACAAAGTTTTACAGCTGTTTCATTTCTCCCATGAAGAAACAAAACAGAATGCAAAGAACTTCCCATAAATCAGGGCTGCTCAGAAAAAAAGCTGGAAGGAAGTTTGGCTCCTAAGTGACTGCAGTCTGCAGCTAATAACCTCAAAGTTGTTCTGGTCATGATTTGTTCTCGTAGTAGAAACTTGAGATTCCACATTTTCAAATGAAATCTCAACTGCATAGTTCAGGATGAGATATAACCAGTGGCTGGACCCAAATCCACAAAAAATCCTACCCTGCCTTCCTATCTGCCACAACCCAATATAGAAAAGAATCTTCATCCTCCAAACCACCGCATGAAGTTCTTCATGAAGGGAAAAAACAAACACAAGGTCCACGCACTGATGCCATTACCTTAGCTCTTGCCTCCCGTGCAGCTTCAGCTTCTGCAGCCATTGCTCTCTGCAGCTGTACGGGTAATTTCACATCCTTGATCTCCACACGTTCCACCTTAATGCCCCAGTTATCTGTTGCATCATCAAGTGTAGCCTATGTAAAGCAGGACAGTTAATTGCAGCCATATATTTGGCTGCAAGCAAGTATCCAAATTTGAAGAAAGACTATCAAGCCAACGAATTACCATAGAATTTCTGCACTTCCAATTTAATGGTTTTTAGTACTTATGGTATGCTGTGATGATCATAAAAGCACAGCTGTTGTAAGCAAAGACTTAAAGCTTGATCAGTATATGAAAGGAATTCTGTGGTGTCATTTCCTTGAGCAGCAGCATGTTGACATAACGATGCAATATACGCCTCCTCGCACAAATCCCCCTTCCTTACTTACAACAGCCCCTCCTGTCTATTATTGTTTTACTCACTGTTTTTTATTAGACTGAGTACCATTCCAACAGCCCTTGGCAGGGTTTTGCCTAAAGCTCCAAATCAAAACTTGGCTTGCCACTTGTAAAATTAAGTCCTGGCCTCCGATTTATCAGCAGGATCAGCACAACTGATTGTTCAGTGCACTGCCTCATGCTTGCACGTTGCTCATACCTGCATGTTGTGTGCAATCTCCTCACGATCAGAGAGAATCTCAGAAAGGTTTTTGGTCCCCAGAACATTCCTCAAAGTTGTCTGTGCTAAAAGACGTGTGGCTGAGTCAGCATTTGTGATATTTGCCACAGCAAGGGTAGCGTTCTGAACTCTGTAGTAAACCACTCCATCGACGTTAACCGTCACAGAGTCCTTGGTCAAGATCTAGAAAGCAATGGGAGAAACATACAATAATTGCATATAACTAAACACATATTTGTTTATATAATGATAATTACGTACTTGTTTTACTGGACTAGTGCCTAGTTTTTCCCCAGGAAAAGCAACTGTCATGACAGCCATGTTTTATACTTGCGTGCTGCATATCAACACGTCTACATAAGGATGCACAAACCTTTCAGCCTCGCTCTGTCAAGCTAAGATTAAATACAATAACAGCACGCTCCTCAGTGAACAATCAGTTCCACTAGCTTTGCCATGGTGTTATTTCTAATTTACTTCTTTGCACTCACTGAGGGATTTGCAATTCATAGGTGACAGAAAAGTATTCAGAAATAATTTACACCAAAATACATATGATTTCAGCTGGGAAACTTTAGTCTTCAGTGAGGCTTACAATATCACATGTATGACAGCAGCAGATTGACTGTACAGGAACATGAGAGCTGTACATAGAGAAGGACCAAGCCAACAGGAAAGACTCCAAGGACACTAGCAGTGCAGGGGTAAGTATATGAGACCAGTCCATTCAAAATATGTTACTCTAGTTCAGAATACAAACTGGAAATATAAATGAGAGGGACTTATTTTGTGTTTCTGTACAGGGAAAAAAGGGTAGTAATAAGTATTACAGCACATATAGGACACAAGTGATTTTCACTTGTGTTTAACTTCAGTCACAAGACTATTGAGTTAGCAAGACAGCTGTGCAGGTGTGTCAGTTTATAAAGCAAGGGCAAAGCAGGCAAGCTATTCAGAAAGCAGGTGAGGAAAGAAGTATTTCAGCTGCACTTTCTAACAAACATCACAGATGGTTTCCCATATCCCAAGTGTGGATGTAGCTGAAGGCACTTCTCAAATACCGATTGTTCCATAGGAACCTTGGAATGGCCAATGCTTGAGACTTCAGCACAGCACTGGCTGTGTTAAATTAGTTGACTGAATTGCAAAAACTTTGTAATTAAAGGATGTCAGTGTATAACGAAGCCCAGAGAAACAAAGGGCCCGTGAGATATTTTAGATAATGCTAACTATGTTTGGCTACTAACAAAATTGCTTTTGTCTGCCTGAAGGCAATACATTACAGCTGCTTGACTGTCAGCCCTACTTCTGCATCTCACAGAAAGAGGGCTCTTGTTATCTGGCAGTTCATCGTCCTTCTCCAAAGTTCGATCGAATGCCACCTTGTGTTTCTGAAGGACGTCTCCATCCTTCCGTCCCAGACAAACTGCACAGGAAATCAACCTGGCAAACATTCTCACAGCGCGATGCAAGTGATTTACTTTACCTGTCCATTGAACAAAAGGTGTGCTTGCAAAGATAAGGACAGATATTCTTGATGGTTTAAAAGAGCGTACATCAGAAAGCTATCATTAATATTAACTATGTTTTAAATTTTAGTTATAAGGAGAGTGAAACAATGCTCATGACCATGCAAAGATGGTCTAATCCTGTGTTAGAAGATGAGGATTGTGTTACTTGACAAGAGAGTGGTACGTGTGAGATTTACCTACTTTCTGCTCCCAGTCTACTTATTTTAGTGGGCTTTTTGTAATAGCCTCAAGAAAGAATGAATAGCATGCACAGAAGTCCTGCTCTAAAAATAAAAACATGTTTCTGCTTCTTCCTATTAGAAACAAGGAAACAAGCATAATTTAATCGAGTCAAAAGAAAAAAATGTAGGACTTCACTAATAGCACATCAGCAGCTGCAACCACATTGTGCCTGCCATTGATTAGGTTTCTACCAATTACCCTTCAGAGCATGCTATGACAGCTGCCATCTGTCTAAATCTACAACTAATGACGAGCAATAAACTGACTGGCAAACATGACAGAAAACAGGAGCACCAGGCAGGTTGCTTCAAATATCTGTCTTGAAAAATACACCAGATACACAGCAGACACAGTTAATATCAGCGACATAGCATTGCTCATTTTAACATTTGTAGAAGGCTCATTTTGTCTTCTGCTGTCTGTTGGCATCACTTAGTTCAGTTAGATGGACTGTTGAAAGATTCTGCTAAGAAATTAAGACGTTCAGGTAAAATGGGACAAGAAATTAAATACATTTTTGTACTTTAGAACCTCCAAACTGAAAGATATCAGATGACATGAGGCACAGGATGTCCTCGTATGTTCCTGTACATAGTAGGACACAAAGCCTTCATATGAGAGTAGACCACTGAATTTCTAGTATTAGCATGTGGTGATGCTTTTGTGCCATTATTGTAGCTACTTCATACGTCCAGATTAGTTGGCATAGAAAAGATCACTGATTCTTCTGGAAATCTTTCGAATTTCACAGAAACAACTGAAGGATGTTGCGTGTGCTCTGGCAGCCCTGAACCCAGACCTCTCCCATTCTAGCTTTTAGGCACTATTAAGTTGTCTTATTTGATCCTTAAAGGATAGCATTATTGGTTATCTTGCAGGGATCTCATTTTACTGACCAATCTCACTAGAAACAACATATTCTTCACAGTGTGCTTCACAGGTACAAATAGAAGCAGTAAGTCTACATTAAAATTACATGCTACCCGATTCTGAGAGCGGGAAAGGAAAAATAAAGTGGAAAAATCTGCAAATATTTTAGCAGATACAAAGGCAAGCGCAAGCTCACCTCTTGGGGTGGAATATCAAAAGAGATGGTCCTCATATCAACTTTGATGAAGCTGTCTGTGCAGGGCAGGACAAAAAAGAGACCTGTAGAAAAACACCCATCCAAGAAGATGTGAGAATGGAACGTTAGAATAGATGGCACTAGCTGTGGAAATAAGCCTCAATCCAACCACTGTAGCTGCACAGCTCTTCGTATTGAGCTCAGCAGTGTGTTTCCCAGTGGCTTTCATGCTGGAAAAAGATTTGAAGAAAAGTATGCTGAGAAGTCTCGATTTATTCAGCTCTAAGGAGATCTAGGAAAGGCACACAGACAATTAGTTTACTACCTTCTCCCTCTAAATAACATACCTTGTCAACAGAAGTTACAAAATTACTGAGAGACCCCAGTCTATCATCTGTAGGCAGTGATCATTTTGCCAGCAACTCAATTAGAACAAAAATTAAGACTGCTCTCCAGGACGTACCCGGTCCCTTTGCTCCTCCCTTTAAGATGCGCCCAAGTCTGAAGATGATGGCTCTCTCGTATTCCTTGACAATCTGCAACAAATAGCTGAATGTCAGCCGCGGTTTCCGGAGGCATATCATGGACTACAAACTACACATGCCAGACTCAACACAGTCTTAAGCCTCATATCTAATATGCATTACATTTTATTTCTCTACTGGCTGCTTTTGAGTATTTTAGACTAAACTTTATTCTTAAAAAGCAAACAGCAAAAGGAATAGTAAGGAAAACGTTCCAGAAGAAATATTCTTCAGACTACAGCACTGTCTGTCAACAGCAGAAGCAACACTGCGGGGCAAGACCAAGCAGGGACTGAAAGCTGCCAGCAGGAATATCCTGGCAACAAGAAAACACAGCATAGTGGGAGTGACACAGCAGAGATTTTCCACCTGTAGTTCTGATGGGGTGAATTAATAAAAACAAAGCAGGAGTTGTATCCGCATTGCTGGAAACTGGAAATATTGAGCTCGAAGTGATCACAAATGGCACATTCTCTGTGAATCTGTCATGTATGCAAACATTACCTACATATTTTCATGTTGATATTTACATATACAGAGATCTTAAAAATTCATTTTGTTTTTAAAGAAATCAATCCTTAGAATTATTCCGATATTCCAAAGTAGCTCATACACCAGCACTGGCTGGGCAGACATTGTGAAGATGTCAGTGCAAAAATTCCTTTCTGATTTGAAGATCAACAAAGTGAAATGTTGGGGTTTGCAGCAGTCCAGGAGAAAATGGACTTCTTTGTTCTTAAAATGAATAATGTAATACTGAATTGGGAAGCACTGCATCGCCTGAAGCTCTAATCCAACTTAGCAGTGAAAAGTTTTACCTTTATGCACATCCAGATTGATACAGGAAATGTAAGAACGGTGAAGAAGAAAGAAAATATCACCAGGATCCATCCACACACCCCAAGACCGGTGTCAGCATTGCCTGAAAGAAAAGAGCAGAAATGTTCTGATTTCCAAAATAAAGAGCCCCTGTCCAGGAGAACACTGCAATGGGATTTTTCTTTTGCATAAGCCGCTGTTCCTGTTACTCCTCTGGCCAAACTCATCGGGTTCAGATCAAGTCACATTAAGAGCCCAGTTCTGCTTTCTTCTGCACTATCCCGAAGTTGCACAAGATGGCTGAGGGCAGGATGTGGTTCACAGCACTGGTACAGAACAAAGCACGCACATCTCTGCCACCCCTTTAGCTAACAGGTGCAAACACAGACTCTCAAATCCTCCTTCCTCCCCAGGCCCTCTAGCACAGTTATCGATAGGCAGCAACAGAAATCCTGTTCCTTCACTGAGGACAGAAGTCAGAACCACGCTTGCTTCAAAAGGAGTGGGATGGAAATACCGCAAAGACCTGCTGGCAACAGGACACTGAAAATTTGATTTGTGTTCCAATGATCAGAGATGCAGATCTGAGAAAAGTACAACAAAAGTGACGAAGTATAAGAAATAAGTTTCCAAGTCTCCACTCAACAATTATCCTAAGTAGAACTGATTTCATTATAAAACAAAACACTGATTCTGAAAGACAGTCATTGATTTTAACAACTGCGGGCACACACATTGTGTCAGGTGTCCACGACTGCATGCAGCATTAGCAACAAATGCACTGATAGAGAGGGAAGCGAAACAGATGAGTCATTAGAAATCAGTAATTTGGAAAGCAAATAACTATGCTTTGTGAACTGAGATCCACAGTATATTTGACTAAAGTAAAAATCATTGATAGAACTAGGAACCAGAATCAAAGTTTCCATTCCTCGTTTACACAGTTGGCTAAAATCTGTGCCACAGAACTGCTGCAGTAGCGCTGAATACAGAGGTGCTGGGGAATAAGTTCTGTCCATGAGGCAGCAGGAACTTGACAGTTACTCAAAACTTCCAAAGGCCATCAGCATCTTCTCTGTTAGCTCACATGCCACTGCCACAACCCTCAGTGAGGCACCTAACATCATGTGCCATTTTCAAGTGCCTCTATGGAAAGTTACCTACACATACTGCCCACAGTTTACAAATGACTTCCAGGTATTCTGCAAAAGTCAAGGAAAGGTGTTATGTGTGTGATATGTGCTGGCATTCAGCATTAAGCAATGATGAACAAAGAGCAAATACCTCCCATTTTGCAACAGGGTATTAGCTAACTTAAACACTGAAAGAAAGACACTACAGCAGAGACAACGCCTGGAAACTACAATAATGAAAGGAAACGACAATCAGCGATGGTTTACTGTTAATCTTAGGGATAATTTATACTAAGAAGAAAAAACTAATGATAAAAACAACTCATTTGTACTGTTCTATCACGGTCACGGAAAGCCCAGCTTACACCAGAAGAAGCCCAACCCCATCACCCTGACACTCCTATGAACTTGTAGCCATTTTTCAGCTCGCAGTCCCTCTACCTTCTTCACGTGAGCTCTCTCTTGCTTGATTTTCTAAACTATTCTATACCCCCATAGCTTCAGTTCAAATGCTCCTCACCTCCTGCACACTAGCAACAGCCTTGCTCTTTTATTATCAATATATCCAAAACTCACACTTGGAATTCAATCAATCTTATTTTTGGGCAGTCTGCAAGAAATTATGCACATCTTTCAGGAAATAAACCCCAAGGAGAAAGAAAATTAAAACCATTTTAATCAAATTAGCCTTGGACCCCCTTGAAGCTGATGGGAAGAATTCCTGCTGCTTTAGCAAGGAATAACTCCTTGGCTCATCAAACAGGATGACAATTCGTGCCAGGAGGTGAAAGGGGCAGCTCTCCCATGAGTGCTCCTGGTGTGGCACAGCCTTCATGGGAGAAGTATTTTCTTCCACAAAGCCTACGCAACGTGAACAAATACACAGCGGTGAGGCAGCAAGAATGCGAACGAGTGCCAGGCACAGCAATGGGAAAGGCTCTTCCCATCTTCCCTGTTCTTGAGCACACAGAAGCCCAGCAGATCAGAGCACAACACTATAGGCATTAAGTGCATGCAAGGCTCTGTACCACTACCCCTACCACATAGGAATCTGCATGCTGCTACATGAAATGCAGGACAGCGTGAGAATGACTGTGGGGGTTATCGTATGACAGTTATTCAACTAATCAGCAAACAGTGACTAACGCTTTTTACGGGAAATCTTTTCCTGGGGGAAACAGCTAAAACAGTTTTGCCTAATTAATCAGAGTTACATCCAAAGCCTACCGAGTCCATAGATACTTCACCGCGACAACGCTGTTTTGGCCTCCGAAACAACGCGCAGAAGAACCAGCAGCACATGAGGGGAAAGGGCTGCAGGGCACGGCGGGATCAGAGCAACCCGTCAGATATTAATAACAAGCACAGAATGGAACGCAGCTCGTGCCCAAGGATACCAGAGCCATGCGTGTCCCATCGGGGCCCACACGGACCCGCAGTTATTTATACCACAACTCGGATTACCGGCCGCAGCCGTTGCGGATGGTGGTCTTAGAACTCACTTCCTTCTCGGGTTGCAGCGGGCGCGGAAAGCTCCGGCTACGTTATTTCAGGGCATCCCTCGCCACCGCCCGAGCCGGGGAAACCACCGCCGCCTCCTCCCGTCCCGCTACAAAAAAAAACCTCAGCAGGGAAAACGAGCGCCCCGCAACTCCTCCAGCCCGCCGACAGCACGGGGAATTCGCTCCGGGATCTGCAGGACCGGGGCTGCAGGCGGCGATGCGGTACCGCCGTTCCCGCGGGGCGAACTTTGGAATAGAAATCAGCCAACTTTGTTGAGCGACCGATCAGCGATACTGAAAGCAATCGGTATAAAGCCAAAGCGAAACTGAAAACCGGAGAGCGACTCTCCGGGCACCGACAACCAACTCGGGGACCGGACCGCGGACCGCCCCGCTCCCGTCCCGTTACCGTGCAGCCGCTGCTGCGCCTTCGCCGCTCCCCCCGCCTCGCAGTCCGCCATGGCCGCTCCTCGTGCCCTCTGCCCGCCCCGCCCCGCCAACCCTCGGATCTCAGCCCTCGAGGGTGGGGCCGCGCGGCCGGCGCGTGCGGGGCGGACCGTTGTTGGGCCGCGCGCCGTTACCTCAGCGGTACGGGCGGGAAGGGCTGAGGGGGGATGCGGAGGAGGAGATAACGGCCCGGTGACCTCGCGGTGCGGAGCCGTCCGCGTGAGCCGATGGCTCCACGTGGCCTCACGGTGCGGAGTGGCTTCCAAAGAGATCCTTTTCACCGCTCCGTTTGAGCGGTAATGCCTTGGGGCGTTCTGTGTTCCTGCTAAAGTGAGGGCAGAATTACAGCAAACAAACAAACAAACACCAAACAACCCAAAACAACCCCTAACTTTGAGAAATCCGCCCATAAAGCAGCATGGGAGGTTGCACTGTGCTGTAACAGCACATGGTCCTCCTGAAAGCAAAACCGGACACACGAGAAGCGCACGGCGAGCAGTCGGACACGGAGCTGCTCCAGCAGGGAATGGTGGGCACAGGTGGGTGCACGCAGCTCCAGGTGGGCACGGAGCACGAGCAGGGAAATGGAACTGCTGCGATGTGCTGTTAGAGCACCGTGCGGGGGAAAGGAGATACCGTGCCTTTCTTTTCTCTTTGCTGAGCGTAGGTCTTCTGGCAAGCAGAGTGCTGAGAACGTCTCTGTGATGAGAGACGAAGAATGTGCTTGAAATGGGAGGAATGTGTTCTGTGCAACCACTGAGCAAAGGAGCTGTGGAGATCTGCTGCCACCAGTGCCCAGTTTGGTACTGGAAAGCCTAAGCCAGTGCCAGTAATGAGGTAAGGTAATTTCAATACAAATTGAGCACTGCTGAATGTATCATAACTGATTTACATTTAAATCGTGGGTCCCTTCCAACTCGCACCGTCCTTTTATTCTGTGGTTCTGTGATCGTTTCAGTGCCTGTAAATTTATCTCTAAACCAAAAAGTCCACAACCAAAACCTTGTATTCCACACAGAGCTGGTGTCACTTACAGCTCAGATTGCAACTTTTCACACTCGCATACAAACGTTCGTGACCGTTTGCTCGAAGAGGAGAGAGCCTTCTCTATCAGATGCCCATCCCGCACCCTTCTGCCGCTTCGTGGCGTTTGCCAACAAGGTTGGAGAGGTGCTGGAGGGCTGGAGGTCGCGGTGCTGCTGTGCGGTTTGTTGCTGCCATCTGCTGAGCCGTGAGCGCTCGTGCAGCTCCGGAGCTCGGATGGGCGAGAGGGGCTGCGGGGACTCAGAGGGGGAGATCAAGGTGAGGAAATGCAACCCTTATATAAGGGTTATAACCTTATAACGCAGCTTATGGCAGCATTGGAAAGTGTTCTCATTGAGTTTTTTTGTTTGTTTCAATAAACAAAGGAGTGAAAGGATTTGATTTTTGGCTCTCCAGAGGACAACCGCGGGCTTGAAAATGGATTTGTTAATCCTTAGCAGCACGTGTGGAGCGGTGTGAGCCCCTGTGCTCCCGCCATCCTGCAGGGGAGCAGCTGCAGCTGCTGTGGTTGCTCACCTGTGTGTGTCCCTACGCGATTTCTGCCCTCTGAAAAATCTGAGAGCGGAGCGCACAGCGACCACGAGGTGTCAGCCGGGTCCCAAGCACGGCTCTGCCCGTGGCAGCCTCGGAAACGATATTTTTAAGGTACAGATTCGTGTCATCCCGGTCCTTCTGATAATGAAGTTGTAGTCTGCGGTGACTGTCGGGGGCTGTTCCTTTAAATGCTGTTTCTGACCACCCAGACATGCTGAATCTGAGATGCTGTGCTCACAAATCCTCTCCGAGCTGCAGGTGCTGTGCAGAGCTCCGCCTGGCAGTTCTGCCGTACCCGACCTCCCAAGAGCCGTACGTTGCCTGTGTCCCACACTGAGCACGTGGAGCACGTTGGTAACGAGGAGCATTGCTGTGCTTTGTCACTGCTGTTTCTTTTCCCCCAGCTAGCAATAGGTTCTGAGGGACTCTCACAGACTTTTCCCATTGCTGTTCACCATTCATCTTTAGGGGTGAACTTAACTCCACATAAGCTAGGACGCTTAGTATCTTCTTATCTGCATATGTGCTTAAATATTCTGTTGACTTTTGAGCTGGAGTCATATCTCTGGAGAACCATCACTTTCCATCACGTGAGGAATTGCAGTGTTTGCACACACCTCGGTTTTCTCCTGAAGAACATCGGTTCATCTCAGCGCCTCCCAAAGCAGCTACAGCTGAACAAAAGCAGACTCAGCCAATGCTTCCCACGTCGTACAAATCTGCACTTCATTTAGGAGCCCCTTTCTGCACCATGGGATTCTTTCTTTGCGGTGGAAACAGAGCATGTATCTTTTGGAGTCAAGAACACCAAAATAGAAGCGTGTTAAATTCAGTTATTTTAAACAGAATCATTTCTCCCACAGTAAAGGGTGCATTGTTTATAATATCTTTGAGGCTGGGAGGTTAATTGTTAGGAGGTTGTTTACGTTTACGGATATACATAGCAGCCCAGCCAGCAGGACTCATCCCCAGGGATCCCTGCACTGCTTTATTGTTGTTGTTGTTATTATTATTAATTATTATTATTTTCTGGAGTATTTCTTGTGGCTCGGAGCAGAGGACTGAGCCTCCCCTCCTGGCTGTGTGGTGGTTCCAGGTGTGCCCTTGGTGAGGCACTGAGCTGCCCCTCTGTCAGCAGGAAAAATAAAAGAAGGAAAAAAAGAAAAAGTGCTGTAATGTTGTGTTAGCAACATTTAACAAAATCCAGCTCTGTATTTTAGGGCTGTGCTGAGTGAATATATTCTAAGCTAAAGCAAGTAAGAGACACTGGAATTTCCCAGTGCTCTCCAATAAGTTTCCTGAGAACCCTTCTTCTATTCCCTCTGCCGTTCCGTATGCTAGTCGTGTGTGCAGAAGGTTTTGCTTGTCATTTCTGGGCTTACCCAGAATTCAGCTGGCTGCTTTTTGATTCCTCAGAATAATGATTTCTTTGCTTCTGTAGATTTGGTGAAGGAGAAAATTTGTATTTAACAAAACAGAAAAAGCCTCGGGTGATAGAGAAGAAAAAGGAGAGCAGCAGGACAAGTGGAAGCCATCGAGGTGCCCTTAAAGCAGCAGAGCAATGGCACACGAGGCTTCCAGGAGCCCGGCCTCAGAAGAAGTGCCCCATAGGCTGTCACTGAGTTGAACTTATGTACTGATTTTACATCTCTTTCAAAAGCAGCAATGTTATTTAAAAGAAAATGCTATAATGCTTTTATACGGAAGAAATTTGTATTGGAACGTCTGTGGAATGGCCCTGAGCTGCTGAATTCATCACCTGCTTGGCATGGTTTCCCATAGGCAGGGTTCTCATGAGGCCTGAGTGCCCATAGCAAACTTTGATGTGAAACTGGATGTGATCAACACCCAGAGATGTCAGCAGAGGACAGAACCTGTTGGTTTTCCTGGTGCTCCCCATTCCCCAGCAGCTGCTGTTCTTCTCTTGAGTTTGTCTGCTTCATTCAGTGATGCGGATCTGTGCCTCACATCCACTCTGCAGTTAGAAATAGTTACACAGGTTGCCATGAATAAAAGCTTATCTTGCCAGGATGGGGATGACACAGTTCTGATATTGTGGTTAGACTTGGAGGAGCATTAATTCCAACGTGTCAGCCTGTGTGGGTGAAGTGCTGGCCCTCATTCCTGTCCTGTGTTCCTTTCCCACTGTAGGGATGCACTGCCATGACTGAGCACAGTGCTGACACGGCCCAGCTGTGTCTGTCTGTCCTTCCTTCACTTAAAGCAAGCTCAAAGGACTACGAGAGAGTTGAATAGCAGAAGAACTAATTGGTATTTTTGAAAATGTAACATTAAGTAAAGCTCAAAGTTTATGAACAGGTTTGATAGAGAACTAAAAGACCCATGATGTGTTTCTATGGAAACTACAGCTTAAGGTTTTTATCTGATGAGATTCTAAAAGGAGAACAATCTGTCTCTTTTCTGATTTCAGTAGACAGAGAATAAATACAGCCAAATCAATTGCTAAGTGGTCTTTGAAAAGATAGCTAATGAAGTGCTTCAGGATGAAAACTGCTGCAAAAATGGAAGGTGACACTTCTGTCTTAATCACTGCCACTAATTATGAGATTTTCAGGACAGATTGCTGGTGAGAAGCTGCAGCTCAGCAGTCAAAATATTTGTGCATGTTTCCATGCAGCTGCTGTCCCTGCTTTGTTTGTTTATTTATTTGCGCTCCGTCTGATGACGAGAGCTTCTGTCACACAGCGCGGTGCTCACGGACGGTCCTGGGCCGTGTGTGGGAATCTGCTGTGTGCTTCTCTGCCCACCTCCAGTGCTGACCCCACATCCCGCTTCCAGCGCCCAACGTGGCCCTGGGGCTGCCTGGGAGCTGCTGGCCCTGAGTGTGCTGTGCTGGGCCGGGCTGAGCGCTGCTGCTGTGTGCTGTGCGATGGCTGGGCTGCACCATTGGCTCGTTGTAGCACACGTGCAGTGTGCTGGTCAGAAGTGAAAGTTGTGATTCACGAAGCCATTGTGCTGTTCCTGTCCACGCTTTCATGCGCTTTGATGTCACTTGCTTGATCTGCACAGATTGCTCCCAGCCTTACAATTCGTGGCGCACAGTCTATTCATCCTCACTTTCTTCCAGATCTTTCAGTATTTGATGGCAGGGACTCACGTCACCAAGCCTTCACCCAGAGCCAGAGCACCTTGTGCCAGCTGTGATGAGCTCCTCCCCACTTCCCCAGGCCACACAATTAACTTCATTTTGAAAAGAACATATGGCCGTGTTTAGAACTGGCAGAGGCTGAGATGTTTCCACTTTTGATTCTCTTCTAATTTTGACGGTCACAGCAAATGAAATAACATATGTACCTGCGTCTTCATTCTGATGAAGAAAAATACCAAACTGAGGTTATCTGAATACTAATATACACGGCCTCTTTTCTCTGACACAAAAGGAATCATACCCTTCTGCACGGTGATGGCTTCTTACAAAGCAACAGATGGCTCCAGCAGGCAA